TGGAGTGAAAAATCCCACACTAACAAATGTGAAACAGATGAATTTTAGCATTGTCTATTTTTAATATGTACAATTGTGATTTTTCCAATTCACTAAAAAAAAGATTTGGTATTTTAAACTCTTTTGCCACAAATAACAGAAAAATGAAATCAGCATCACTTAATTATGGTTCCATCGACCTAGAGATATGTGACAAACAGTCAAAGCCTAAACTGTAAATTCCAAATATTGCTTTTATCATCGACACAACCAGAGGGTTCTTAGGAACATTCTTCTTTAGAAAGTAATCCCAGGCTCCCGGTAACAGCGCTCACTGGGGATTTTGAAGTGCAAGCCCGGCAGCTGATTTTAATTGCCACAATGATGCATAGGGAGAGATGTGATATCTGGAGTAACTAGCTTCTAAACAATGAGGGGCTTTAAAGATTAAAGTCAACACTTTAAATCACATTCAAGACTGAATAGGAAGCTAATGCTAACCATTGAATGCAGGTATAATACTCTCCAGGTTTTGGACCTTATAGTTGAAAGAGATGGAGCCCTCTGCATCCGAAAGCACTGCATTATAGTATTCTATTTGGAAAACTAGAAACACAAATATGGTGTAAACAAGACATACATATAGTGAGAAGTGTTCTTGGACTTAGGGTGCCAACTGAAGAGATTGGTAGGTGTCTCTAAGGTCTCCATAACCAAAGGCAAGCTGGTGGCTGTAGCTAAATGGATTGTGAATACCTGGAATCTTGGTCCAGAAGCAAATTGATCCATTGCTCCCTGTCAACAGTGGAAATACTGAATGTATCAATACATGGTCAGTCCCTCCCAAGTGTGACAAGGAATGTAGTTGACTTTACACCTGAGTAAGAATTAACTGAACACTATAAGATCAAAGTATAAAACTTGAGGAAATAATTACTCAGCAATCACAGTGCATCCTTGAAGTAGGCAGTCCTTGACCTAAACATATTAAATGCAAAATCTTACCAGAAATATTAAATCAAACAAACCAAAAGTAACCCTACCAATGTCAAAGAAAATTCTCCACATAGTATAGGGTTGTTTTAGTCATTGACATATGGGAAAATTTATGTAGTAAAGTATATGCTTATAAAATTTCAACTTATATTTAGTGGGGGAAACAATTTATTACACCAAAAAAGCATAAATGTATGACAGATGGCAGTGCTTTTTTTCCTGCCCTTGGCAGGGTCTCTTTTTGGTTGAATGACCTTTGCTTCTTAAAACTATGAACATTGTTATTCACACCTATTTTCTGAAATTAAACAGACCAATTTAATGATGAAACCCCCTATAAATTTGGTTACTATATAATGTCTCCCATTTTGCATCATAAATTATCTAAAGTACCACTTTCCCTAGAATAATGAAAAAAGGCCAAAACTGGGCAAAAGGCATTCTGTAATAAAACCTTTATTTTTAATTCCTTAAATCAATTTTGGAAAACCTTCTCTACTTAAATTTATTGTGGTAGTACTTTATAAAGGAAACTAGAAAAGATTATGGAAGTGTATTCTTCCATCCTAAACTCTTTATTTTGTGCTTTTAAAATGCTCCATTCCTTTAAGTCATTGATGAAATTATAATTTATGTGACTGGATAGCTAGGCAATGTATCTTATTGATTTGCCTTCTGAAAAAACTGGCAAAAAAATTACCCTAAGTGTATATGACATAAGAAGACTAGTCCAGTGTAGTACTTTAAATACAAACCAGTTGTTTAAAGTAATAAAAACATTTATTGGATAAAGATGAAAAAGAATGTACTGTATAACACAATGGAAGGCAATGTAAATGATGAGATCAAAATTGAATGGGTAATACTAGATTTTTGTGTATTGGGCAATCTCTACTTAAAAGTAACAGGTTGCTTTCTCAAGCAATTTTGGAAAGATGGGCTACTATTAGGTTCCCAAATGAAAATTATTAAAAAATGTCAGCATTGTTAGAGTAATCCTAGATGCCATAGCAAACCCCAATATTTCAGCAGCTTAAAAAAGTTTAGTACTTATCCGCTTAATAGTCCCAAGCAAATGTCTTTGGTGGGGAAAATGGTGGGGGAGCCCTCTGTGCCATTGCAATCATTCACAGACTCCAGGCTCTCAATGTCACCTGAACAGCTAGAGAACAGCATAAACAGTGCTTGGGAGATGGCATTAATAGCTGACCTGGATGTCATGACATATAATTCCATTTACGTCCCATTGGCTAGAATTCAGTCACATGTTCATATCTAAAGATAAAGAAGGCTGAAAAACATGATGTCTCTCCTTGTAGGAAAAAAAATAAAAAGAAATATTTCATGAAAAGATGGACAATTTTCACTACAATAAATATCCCAAACACTTTACTGCTGCCCAAATTGAAATTGGACAGCTGTTACTTATAAGAAATAGTGATACATTCTCCATAAATTTAAAATAACACTTAATTTTCCATTTCTTTCTTTTTTGTTTCTTTTTCAAGTCTGCAACCTATTTTATTAATCATCTGCTAGTGATTTGGCTGGCCTGATCACACGTAGTAAGTTTCATCTTAAAGTACGCCTTAGTAACACAGCACAGCATACATAAACATCAGTTTATAAAACACAATGTAAATGCCAACAAACTTTATACACGGGCCTTTTTCCCAATCAGCTGAAAACTATGAGAATTATGATCAAAGTTGGGGAAACAATGTAATCAGTGATCCTTAGATTTCTTTTGTCTACAAGAGATTCATCTTTATTTGTAAGTCATAATACAAGGAAAGTTTTCATTTTATAGTGCTAGGAAAATTTTGGTGAACAAAATTTTGGAGAGAATGCTATGAAAGTAAATCAGTGACAGCTTCAGTGGTTGTTATGGAGACTCGCAGGAAAAGCATTTCTCTAGTAGATCCAGCTGGCATCACCATGCATCAGTCATTTCATTCTTGTGACAAGAAGAGATTTCCAGATATGAATTGTGACTAGGCTGCATGCGTCTATTTCCTCCTAGAAGATAAAATACACATATCATAACTAGACATGAGTTTTGGTAAACTTTTTATGGAAGACTATTTCTAGAAATTATACTTTTCTTTATATTGGTATTAAAGAATTCACATGGAAGGAAAATTGTCCTCCGTTGACCCAAATAATGAAAAAGTTGAAAAGAAAACTGCCCCCAAATGATGTAAGACAGCAATAACTAGATGTCACTATTATGTTAACCACCCTCCCATCTCTGTGACAAAATACCTATGATAATCAAATTATAGAGAGGAAAGATTTGGGTTCATGGTGTCAGAGGTTTGACCGCATTTTCTTTTGTGATTCTGATTAGGCAGAATTTTATGGCAAGAGAGTGTGGTGTGTGTGGTGGAGCAAAAGGCTCACTTCATAGCAGCCAGGAGCAAAAGGAGAAACGGGAAGGAGCTTAAGTCCCAATATCTCCTGCAGGTTATGTTCCCAGTGACCTAACTTCCTTCCACTAGGCCCCATTTCCTAATTGTTCCACTGTTTCCCACGAGTGACACAGGCTGGGGTCCAAGCCTTCAGCACATTAGCCTTTGGGAACGCTCAAGTTCTAAATGACAGCAATAATCCACTCTTACCCCAAATCCTCATAATTTCTTCCTCACAGAAAGTAGTGGAAAGGGATAGAAAGCTAGGTAAGCAAGATATACAGGCGATGCAGCTCATAAGCATCGCCTGTCCTCCCTGGCTGTTTGGGATAAGAGAAGCATCTCACCCCTATGCACAGGGTCCACCCTGTGGGTAGTGAGCACCAGTTAGCCCTGCATTTTATATAGAACAAAGAGACAGCAAAACACCTTTGGTTAAGCTCTGTCTGTCTCCTCATTTGTGCCACTGAACTATTTTATTTTTTTTAAGTCTAGCTTCCAAAGGAGGAGTAGCTCTCATTTTGGCAGGGCTAGAACAGCGGTAGCACAGAAGTTAAGGATTCTGGATTTGGGACTCAAATAATCCTAGATTCTAATCCTTGCACCATCAGTCATACTCTGGGACTTGAGATAAAACTGTTGTGAGAATTAAATGAAATAACTATGTATTGCAAATGTGAAAGAACGTGTTTTTAGAATCAAAATGGAGTTGTGTCAAGCTTACCAACAACAAAAAGTAAACAAAGCTAGGAGGAGGTAATGCAGAAAGGGTTCTTATGGGATTGCTAGCTCAATTATCAAGTGTTCAAGAATCAATAGTGGCCATTAATATCATTATTATTTGGGGGCATCTCTCTAACCAGGATATTTTAGATATTAATGAGTGCCAAAAGGGAAAAAGGAAAAAAGAAAGGATCAACTTGCCAATGGAGGACAGTGTAAAGGAACTGGAGCCCTTTATGCAGAGAAGACAAAATACAGATACAGAAAAGCACAACTAGACGAAGGAGGGAGTGGCTGGACCTGTTTAGCAAGGAGCCCTGGGAGGCAGAACTACGACCAGAGGAGAGGGTGGAGGTCAAGGGGAGACAAATCAGACTCTTACAAGGAAGCACTCCACTTTGGGCAGATTAGAGCGATTCAAAATGGGTGTGTGCCCTCCTGGGAGTTCAGTACTTCATTCTAATAGGATCAGAAGAGATCCTGGTGATGGAGGAAGTCCTGGACGGGATTTATTTTGAGTTCCTACACAATCCCTCTGACCAGACCTGGCTCCCCAGAAGCAGCAGAGTCACGAGGAATAAAAAAACAAGCAGACTGGCCGGGCCCAGGCCTGCCTAGCCTCCTACTCTTCCACTGCGCAGCTTTCCTGATGGAAAATCCTATTTACCCGGGGGGTCCTGGGGGTCTCCTTTCAAAGCTGACTAGCTTGCACACAGGGACACTGAGTTGCTACGGCAACGGAGGCGGTTGACCCGAGTGTCCAGAGCAGGTTTGGGGGAGGGGAGCGGAATTCGCTCAGGAACTGGGCGTGGCCTCTGTTACCATGGCACCGGGGACGCTTAGGCCCGGCCTCAGCCCAGTTTCCAGGCCAATGCTCCTTCTGTCCTTCGCATGGCACCCAAGAAAGAGAAAGGGGGGGCTGTCAACACCAGTTCTAAGATATGGGAACCGTCGCTCATAGCTGCACACTTCAATCAGGTAAGCCTTGAGCCCTTCACGTCTTTTGCGTCGCCAGCAAAGCCAGCAGCCCTACCAGACCCTCTCAGGCACCACCACCAGGCCCGCCCTCCCCTCTGACACCCTGAGAAAAACTCGATCCCACTTGGAGCCGCTCTTCCAGCTCGACCCAGAATGTCCTGAGAGAAAAGCAGGCGAAGCAAGGTCAGCCAGGAGAGTTGGTGTGGTTTCCCAGGCTGGTGACCCATGCATGGTGCCCTACCACACTTCAGGAGCCCTGTTAGTGAAGCCCACAACTGTACTGGAGCTGTCCTTATGAACCCTTCACTTCTCTTGACATCTTGTAAAGGACAGGAGTCCTGTCAAGTAGTAGGGCTTTAGGAAGTGCTGAGTGAAAACAGGCAAGAAGGGCCTAAGACAGCGACCTGCTTAAACAGACTTCTACAGATAGGAAAGGATGTCTTTCTGATGCCATGCCCCATGCCTCTGTATCAAAGTTTTAGTAGCTTTTAATGGTGTAGGAGCCCAGTTCAATGAGGGGCTCCTCATCCACAGAAAGAGAACCTGTTCATCCACAAGTTGTCACCAATGTTGGGCTCTCTGTGCCCCACCCCCACATGACTTCAAATTGCAGAGGATCCAGCCACTGACTGACTCCCCAACCCCCGCCTTCAGCCAGTGGGAAGCCCAACAGCTCTCCTCACCTGAAGCTGGAAATCCACTTCTGGCTCTGCTGTTTCTAAGTCCAAGTAGGCATTTGGGAAGAGAAAGGCAGTTTCTGGAAATTCCAGGCTGCCATTGTGAACTACTTTAAAAAATGAAAAAAAAAAAATTCATTTTATGTGTGGTTATATGGTGCTAGAGAGTGTTTGTACTTAAAGGAAAAATGTATCTACAGTCTTGTCTGCCCTTATAAGAAATGTTTATCTACTTTCTACTATAGTGTTTTCCTCTATGAATGGCAATTCTGCATGATATGGAAATTAGTTCTGATGAGGAACTCCATGAAAATTGTTTGATATTAGTGATGTTGATGTGACATCATGGAATTTGGGGTCATTTCTATAACTTTAGGAATGCAGGATGTCAACTCAATAATTCTCAGTTACATTCTCAAATCTTCAAAGATGTTTTTCAAAGCACTTCATAAAAAGCACCCTCTCTCTTACTTTTATAAGTCAGTACTAGCCAAAATAATTTTTCTTCATTTTCTTTGAGATTATGTAGGCCAAGTCGGGCTTGGCGTGAACACGTGTGCCTGAATTATAAACTGCTGAACAACAGGGTTTGATGGAGGTGCTGACACTGTGTTATCTTTAGTGTTGCAAATATGAAGCCATAATTTTCCAAGTTGAATGGAAAACCTAGAGGCATTCTTTCTTCTTATAGCTTGAAAACCTGAAATAATATTCAGTTTTCTTGATCCTATTCAAACAATATAGTTTCAATAAATCATATGTATTAATAGAAAGAATTTGAACTCAAAGCAATATGTTAGTCTTAACTACAAGGAGGGAACTCAATTTTCTTCAGTTTGTTAAAATACATGTTTTCTTATTGCAAGAGGAAGAGCTTGGTTTTGTGTCTGATTCAAAAGGGAATTTTGCAGATTAGCCTAACAACCCAACCCCTAGAGGCATGCTCTGACCACCAATATAAGAGACTCATTTTGGGTTAAAGATTACTGTGGATGTGTTAATTCTTTATTCATAGTTTTTAGTAAAGTGCTCTGCACATACAGTGTATAATGAAAAAATGTTATTGCTTTGGATGACAGTTTCTTTCCATACAATTGTTACCTGTGCACAGGTGCACATGGTTTAGTGTGTGTGCTAGTATGTGGGTGCGTGTTGAGTGGGAGAGAAGGAAGTAGTTCCTCTGGTCTTCCATAAGCCAGTTTTTAGAATTAACTCACTGAAGAATCCAAGTCCATTTCAGTTTTAAACTCATATTCATACTGGGCTTGCACGAGGTTTAAACAAGCTCACAATTTGGTTTTAGTGAATATGTCTTGTATCACATTTGGGCTGTCCTTCCAGGCTGGAATAATTGCCAACTTTTTAGTACAGTTTAGTTGGTTCTAAAACACAAAATAATAGCAAATAATATTAGACAGTCTCTTACAAAGTTCTAGATGATTGAGGCTAGAGGTTAAGATGAACATGGGCTGAGAAATTCTTTGCAAAATCTTATCTTTAGCTAGGTCCTAAAGATGGGTAGAATTTGAACAGGTAGAATAAAGGAGGATAGATATTTTAGGAAATAAGACCAATATGTACCTTTAACAAACCTGGAATATTTAGATTGAAGGCAAGAAAAAGTAAATTAGACCACTTCCTGGCATACATTGCTCTTAAATTATTTCTGTCAATCAAGAGATCATTTACTGTCTTTGCTACCCATATACCAAGACATTTGCTTATAAATGTCTCACCTCAGATTATACAAAAGAAAATATTTTACATACCTCGGTAGCCAGATTATAAAAATACAATTTAATGTAGGTGACATTGACATTATATTTGTGATCTTGAGCAGCATTCGGAAGTCAAATGTGCTTTGATATATTGGTCCCCTCTTTACCCACCATTTTGCTTTCTGTGATCTCAGTTACCCTCAGCCAACTGTGGTTTGCAAACACAAAATCTGTGAAATAAGAATTTCATAAATTTTACATACTGAGTAGTAGGGTGAGATACCACACCATCCTCAGGCATCCTGGCTGTAATACAAATCAGCCCCTTGTCTAGCGTATTCATGTTGTATATGCTTCTTGCCCAGTAGCCACTTTGGAACCATTTGGTTATCTAATAGACTAGACTGTGATATCACAGTTCTTGGGCAATGCACAATGGTTCGAATATCTCCATATTTTACTATTATATTCAATAATAGATCCAAAGTTCAAGAATAGCAATGCTGGCAACTCAGGTATGCCAAAGAGAAGCTGGAATGTGCTTCTTTTATGTGAAAAGGTGAAAGTTCTTGACTTAGCAAGGAAAGAAAAAGAATCATGTGCTGAGGTTGCTAAGATCTAATGCAAGAACAAATACTCTATCTGTGAAATTGTGAAACAGGAAAATGAAATGCATACTAGTTTTGCTGTCAAACCCAAAACTGCAAGAGTTACAACAACAGCACATGATAAGTGCTGAGTTTAAATGGAAAACGCAGTACTACTCACAGTCTAGGGGTCTTGGGAAAAATCACTGTGGCTGAGGGACTTCCATGTTATATTAATTAAAATATTCTCATGCAACTGTAACAGCAGACTCTCTTGGCCACAGAAAGAGGGAACAGGTGCTAACCTAAGCACTTAGTACTCATTAAACATTCACTAAATATTGGTGTCCCTTCCCTCCTCCTCTCCAGATACCTTAATCTGTTTTCTGCTGCTATAACAGAACACCAACACTGGGTAAATTAGGAAGAACGGAGATTTATTTCTTATACATCTGAAGGCTAGAACACAGTACCAGTGTGTGCCAAGGGCCTTCTTGCTGGGTCATAACATGATGGAGGGCATCACACAGTAAAGAAGTGCATTGCAGAGAGAAAAATAGGCTGAACTCCTTTTATCAGAACCTGCTCCCCAAATAATTAAGCCACCCCGATGGTAATGGCTTTAATCCATTCAGGAGGGTGATATCCTCATGCCCTAATCATCTCATGAAGGTAATTGAATTTCAACATCAGTTTTGAAGGGCACATTCAAACTACATCACCAGCCTCTAGAGGCTACCATTCCTCTTGAAGTCTTGTGAGTTTGACAGCTGAAGGCTTTTTGTGTAAGTGTTACAATGAAGTATTTGTTTTGTGTGAATGCTTTATTTCACTTAACACGATGTCCTGAAGTTTCATTTGTTTTGCAGTATTAGAATTTCCTTACTTTTCGAGGCTGAATAATATTCCATGCTGTGCATACACCCAATTTTATTTGACCATTCATCCACTGATGGGCACTGGGTTGCTTTCCCTCTTGGCTTATTGTGAATACTGCTGTCATTAACATGGGTGTAAAAAAATCTGTTGGAGTTTCTGCTTTCAATTATTTTGATTATACAAGTAGAAGTGTAATGGCTGGATTATGTGGCAGTTCTGTGTTTAATTTTTTAAGGAACCGCCAAAATGGCTATATTTTACATCCCCACCAGCAGTGCACAGGGGTTCCAATTCTTTCACTTCATCACCAACACTGTTGATGTTATTTTGTTTTAATTTTTTGCTAGGTGTTTTTGTTTGTTTGGTGGCATTTATTAACCATCCTAACAGGTGAGAAATAATAGTTTTTGTGTTTTGGTTTTATTTGCCTCATTATTAGTGATGTTGAGCATCTGTTTAAATCCTCCCTGGCTATTTGTGTGTCTCCTTTTGAACATTTTAAAATTGAGTCATTTGGTTGTTTTTGAGTTGCAGAGGTTTTAAAAATACATTATGGATATTGAGCTCTTATCAGATATTTTACGTGTAAACATTTTCACCCCTTCCAAAAGTCACTTTTTCACTTCATTGGCAATCTTCTTTGAGTCACGTAGTTTTAAATTTAAAGAAGTCCATACAGTTATTATTTTTCTTTCTCTACCTGTGCATTTGGTATCATACCCAGGAACTCATTGCCAACTGCAATGTTGTGAAGCTTTCCGCTGCGGTTTCTTCTAAGAGTGTGATGGTTCTGGCTGTCTTGCTTAAAACTGATACATTTTGTGTTAATTTTTGTACTTGATGTGCAGTTTAGGTCTCACTTCAGTCTTTGGTGTGGGAGGTCTTCCATCTTCTACAAATTGTTTTCTAGAAATTTCTTCAGTGCTTTACAGTTTTTGTTGTAGAGTTCTTTAACATCTTTGGTTCAATTTATGCCTAAATTATTTTGTTGGGTTTTTTTGAGGCCATTGTGAATGGGATTGCTTTCCTGACTCCTTCCTCAGAAAGTTGGTTGTTGATACATAAGAAAAGTTACTAAGTTTTGCATATTGATTTTTATTATGCAACTTTGTTGAAAATATATATCAGATCTGAGAGTC